AACAAGGTCTTTCAAAAATTATAAAGTCTATTCAAACAACATACCCTCAAAGCTGAAAGGGCAAGTTGTCAATTGCAATGGAAAGACTAAGACTAAAAGTGTATGTAGGCAAGCAGGCAAATCCAAAAACTTCTACATTAAATAATTTTCTTAATTAGGTACACATTGGATATATTGATACATTCTTACTATCTTCAAAAACACTGTATTTAACTGTATATGTGATATGCCTGCGTGTGTGTGTGTGTGCTAGCTGCTTAGTCATGTCCGACTCTTTGCGACCCCATGGTCTGTCCATGGAACTTTCTAGGCAAGAATCCTGGAGTGGGTTGCCATTTTCTTCTCCAGGGGATCCTCCCAACCCAGGAATCAAACCGGGATCTCCTGAATTGCAGGCAGATTCTTTACTGTCTGAGCTACCAGGGAAATCCTATTTAACTGTAAAGTGAAAGTCACTCAGTCATGTCCATCTCTTTTCGACCCCACGGACTATACAGTCCATGGAATTCTCCAGGCCAGAATATTGGAGTGGGTAGATCTTCCCAACTCAGGAATCGAACCAGGGTCTCCTGAACTGCAGGTGGATTCTTTACCTACTGAGCTTTCAAGGAGGCCCTATTTAACTGTAAAAGGTTTACATAAATTTTTAAACCATTATTATCTTTATATGACCAATGGAAAATTTCTTAGCAGATTTTCCTGAGATAATGAAGAGAATTTTCACTGAACATTATGTAATGTATGTAAGTAAGGATGTCATAAGCACTTAGACTGGGAACTGTAAAGGACTGCTACAAGCTCATGAGCAGTATAAGATCAAGGACCAAATGTTTTAAAAGTTTCTAAGCCTGGCAATAAACAGGTAAATATCTAGCAGCCATATCTGCAAAAGCTTACTTTATAAGCCCAATACAAACGTATGAAACAGTTGTTAAGAATCAAAACTCTCAATATTTATCTATCATGTTCAAGATTAAAGAAAAGTTACATTATTAAAAAAGTATTTTATAAAGTTTATTTTCTTTCCCTTTCAACTGAAAGAGATTCAACATCCAGCAGACCTTCTTAGTCTCCAAGAAACTGGGTACAGTGAGGTCATAACACCACTTTCAGTGAATATCCCTAAATGTACCTTCAGAAACAGCAGAAGGCTTCCCTTTCTTCTCTCCTTTTCCTTACCCCCCAACTGAATAGTTTGGCTAAACTTAACTAAGTAAAAAATCAGTACATTTGGCAGGATGTTAGTTTACTAAATGATTTAGGTGCCTTGGGATGGACCTGGAAAAGAAATTTAAGGACAGAGGACATGGAGGGTAGGGGTGAGGCCAAGTGATTCAAATGATCAAGTGAACATATTACTTTCTTTTAACACTAATGGCACCTTTGCAGATGGACAGAGGAGCCTGGCGGGCCCCGGTCTACAGGGTCACAAAAAGTCAGACACGACTGAAGTGACTCAGCAGACACAGAAATTCCAGGTGACAAGTCAGAAGATGCTCAGTGGATTAAGTCCGCTGAGGAAATCAAGCCAAACCAGCGAGGCGTTTGTAAGGGGCTTTGCTGGTGGCTCAGAATCTGCCTGCAATGCGGGAGACCCAGGTATGATCCCTGGGTCGGGGAGATCCATGGAGTATATATACTCCAGTACTCTTGCCTGGAGAATTTCATGGACAGAGGAGCCTGGCAGGCTACAGTCCATGGGGTGCCAAAGACTTGGACACAAGTGAGTGACTAACACAACCGAGTGACTCTCTCACTCACACACACACACGCACTCACAGAGCAAGGCAGAAGAAAACAGTACATCAGGATCACCCTCAGACATCAGCAGAGGCCCCAACAACAGCTGCTGCTGATGTTCCAGCTCCCAGGGCCAAGCCACTACAGAAGCGACTGCCTTGACTTCAGAATCCACATTTGGAAAAACCATCTACAAGAGAAGCCTATGGTCCTTTGCCAATTCAACCTAATGATCAATCCATTCTTTAGCTACTTAGAAATCTCACAAGCTATATTTTCAAAATGAGGATAATTATATAATTATATTATATGGCTAGGATATTCTAGGTCATCCAGAAGACTCATGCTACTTTCTCACCGTAAGTGTCAGCAACCCCACAGAGAAAAGCAGCTGTGACCCAGCAGTACAAGCAGACGTCTGCACTCTCCTAAAGCACCTGAAACATCCTGAATATCATATTCTTCCACAATCCAAAAGTACACAGGAAGTCTAATATCCAGAGAGAGAATGCCTGGGCTTGTCTCCAATGCAACCCGATTCCCCTTCAAGGAAAGGCCCCAGGATACACAGAGAAAAAGGAGTTATTTTAATTTCATAGAGCTTCTCAGATTTCCTTTTTCTGAGGTGAAGCATCAGCCTAGAGGGAACAGTAGGTGATCTAATATGAGTTATTACAAACACACATACACACAATGATTACTACTGATTTCATGTACTACGTCAGTCTGAGTTTATTTGGCCGTAGGCAGGTTATTCCACTATACTTCTGTGGACATTTCTATTGTCTCACACCTACAGTCTAGTCAGACTGCCTCCTGAAACTGTATCCTAAGGTCAATGAAAATGCATGAGTGTTAAAACAGATGTTTTCATGAGGGAAACTCCCACTGATATTTCAAAAAGTAAACCACTTATGAAGAAGCCAGGAGGAAAAACCAAGAAGTCTATCTGGCTATTTCTTAAGAACATTTAACCAGTAAAACTACAGTAAGAGTGATACATCTTTTTTTCTGTATGGCAAACAAATTTCACCCTCGTAGAGACAAAAAGAAACAAACACTTTGGGAAAGGAACAATACTGATTTGTAATATGTCCATTCTACTATAACATGTCATTTTATCAAAAACTGTGTTTAAAACTGGAGGCCACAATGTATCACACTATGTCTAAGGTATTGTTTTTGCATGGATTTCAATAATAAATAATTCTTTAATAGGTATGCATGGATTTCAATAATAAATAATTCTTTAATAGGTACATTAAACTAAGACACCTACTCATTACTAAGGAATCAAGCTATTATAAATGGAATTACACCTAAATTTTATTCCTGAGTTGAAGTTTTTCTGACACCGTATTTCTGAATAGAAAAATTCAGTATTTATAAGATTATCAATTTTTCCCTGTAATTCACATATATAATTCAATCAGCTTCCCAACAAAATAACAGTGAGCTTTCCCTTTAAAACTGAGGAAATATTAAAATGTATCTGATAAAATATAGAGAATATTCAGAGAAATTCTGAAATGACTACTAATGAAGATTATCCCTCTCCAATATGAAAACATTTCATAACTAATAGTATTCAAAACTAACAAGAGTAGTTCAGAAATAACAACAGCTACTATTTACTTAGTACTTCTTAAGCATATTACATGTCTTTAGCAATTATCATCATAAACTATTCTTGAGGTAAATACTATTAATATGATTTCATTTTACAGAAAAGGAAACTGAGGCATAAAGAGATTAAATAACTTGCCCAAAGGTACACAAATAATAAGCAAAAGTTGTTGCTGTTGTTTCTTGCTAATTATTTCTTGCTAAGAATTATATATAGTGTTAAGGTGGTGGTGTTGTTTAGTTGTGAATTCATGTTCAGCTCTTTTGTGACCCCATGGAATGTAGCCCACCAGCCTCCTCTGTCCATGGGATTTCCCAGGCAAGAATACTGGAGTGGGTTGCCATTTCCTTCTCCAGGGGATGTTCTGACTCTGGGATCGAACCCAAGTCTCCTGCATTGGTAGCTATGGATTCTTTCCCGCTGAACTGCCAGAGAAACCAATAAGGAAAAGATTCAGGTTTTAAACTCAGACAATCTAGAACCTGCCTTCCTAACCACCATCGGCTTATACAAAACTGCTACATTCAATATCATAATTTAAGATTCCTGAATTGCAACTGAATAAGCAATAAACAAATATGTGACTATTCAAAAGAAAATGTCAAGCAGGAAAAACAATATTTGTAACATGTAACACACAAAGGGCTAATTTCATTAATCTACAAAGACCTCAAGACCTCATACACATTAAAAAGAAAAATGACAACTCAAAAAAAGGCAAAGAATTTTAAGGAATGTGAGTTATACCTCAATTTTTAAAAACGGGCAAAGGATATGAAAAAGCAATTCACAGAAACAGAAACACAAAGAGTAAATGAAAATATCATAATATGATCATCTCTGCTCACATTTTATGATGTAAAAATGGGCAAAAATTAAGAAGTTTGATAATGTCTAGATTATGATCTCTATTACTTCATACCAAAAGGGACTAGGACTTCTTTCAGACTCCAGGCCTGGGGCAGAAAATTGCCCAATGAGCCTGGAATAGTTTGACTGTAGTAAAGAAGCTACCAATAACTACTGGTGAAGACAGGATCAATTTGAAGGGGTTCCTAATGACCAAAAATAGGAATTTTTTGAGAATTATAAAGAATAGAAAGAGCAATGGGTTGAAACACTTCAAAACTACTTAAAAGTCATGATAAAACTTAAGAACAAAACTAAAAAAAAAAATAAATAATCATCACCTTTGCAGGTTAACAAGATACCAATTTATAGAAAAAAATAGAACGTCAACAATTTTCTTAAGATGAAGAGTTCTCTCTCTGTTCAGGAGAAAAGGGATAGAGAAATAACACCCTTCAGGACTATCATGTTTTTGGTTTTGTTCTGATTTTTTTCCCCCATAATAAACCTCTATTAATATTATCTGTAAATTTTTTAAAACAAAAATTAACTTGTCTATTTTAATCATTACCATTATGCAAATTAGTACATTAGTGCTTTTTAATCCCATTTATTGTTCTTTTTCTCATTATTATGACAAAGCAGAAAAACCCTTTAACAAAGCAGTTACAGTATATGCCAAACTGTATTTTTTTTCCCCACCCTAAAAATAAGGTTCCAGCTTCCAATGACTACTTCCTAACAAAAATCACAGCATTCCCATTTAGGAGAAGAAAATGCTTACCCATATTTTCCAAACAGTGAAACTGTTGTCCCTCCCACAGGCACTGCTTTTCCTGGTCCATACACATCCCATATTGTCAGGGCCACTTGGGCATTCCTGGGCAGGTCAGGGTATTTCACAGGCAGTTTTAGCCACTCATTCCAGCTATGAAAACAAGGTAAACAAAAACATAAGTAAGGATAGAAAATCAACATAGACATATGTGTATAACTTTCTTCTAAATTAACAAACCATACAAAAAATTTGGTTCAGAGAAAATGTCCCAAAGATTAGTTAGTAGTACAAAAATTAACATGGCACTGACCTCAATTTTGCTCTAGGCAAGTTCAACTTTAAATACAGAAAAATCTGTATTTTACTTCACTTCACTTTATTGGACTTTGCAGATACTGCATATTTTACAAGCTGAGGTTTATGGCAACCCTGCATCTAGCAAGTCATGGGCCCCATTTTTCCAATGACAGCATTTGCTCATTTTGTGTTTCTGTGTCATATTTTGGTAATTCTTGCAATATTTCTAACTTTTTCATTATTAATGTTTTTATGGTGATCTGTTGTGATATTTGATGTTACTACTATGACTCAGTGAAGGCTCAGATCTCAGGAAGCTTTTAGCAATAAAGTCATTTTTAATTAAGGCACATATAATGTGTTTTTAGACACAATGTAATTGCATACCACAGAGACTACAGGATAGTATAAAGGTAAATTTTATATGTACTGAAAAACCAAAAAAACTACTTTATTACAATATTTGCTATATTGTGGTGATCTAAACTCAAACCTGCAGTATCTTTAGGTATGCCTACAGAACACATGAAAAAAATTTTGAAAGACAAAATTCATGAAAAATAATGCTGACAAGTCCTTTAATCAAGAAACTCAGACATCAAAAATTTACTATACAGCACTGAGTACTATAATCAATATCTCATAATAAACTATAATGGAATAGAATAAAAAATAATACAGATATATACATATGTATATGTATGACAGAATCACTTTACTGAATATCAATCACACTTCAATTTTTAAAAAGCAGGAACAGACAATATGACTAAGACACAAGGCTATAATAATGGTTCCCTGGTGACTCAGTGGTAAAGAATCCACCTGCTAAGCAGGAGACATGGGTATGATCCCTAGAACAGGAAGATCTGTAGAAGGAAACGGTAATCCACTCCAATATTCTTGCCTGGGGAATCCCACAGAGGAGTCTGCCAGCTATAGTCCACGGGGTTGCAAAGAGTTGGACATAACTTAGTGACAAAAACAACAACAATAAATAAAAACCTGGGAAAACACTTAAACCTGTTAGAACCAAACTTGTTTTCAAACAAACTATGATTTTTTTAAAGCAAGTATCCTCCAGAACAGCTTTTTATTAAGAAAAGAAAGAAATTAGAATTATTCATGCTATACTCAAAACATGCTATATATGGTCCTATAATATATAGCAGTATCTCAATAAAGCAGAAGAAACCAACAAAAATTCAAAGAGGTCAAAGGAGACCATCCAGTAACTTTGTAACATGAAGAAGTTACTAGACTACTCTGGACAAACATATGACAATTTTTTAGGTGAGATTTTTCTTTCACTCAAGTTATTTATTAATATCAATAATGTTTAGCTATTCTTTTTTAATGCTTTCAAAGCATGTTTGTACATATGCTTTCAGTAAGGAATGTTTGTTCTTACTAAGAGTAATGACAGCATAGCTCTCTCATTTTTCTTTTTCATTCTCTATCCACCTCTGCAAATTTTCTTCTGCATTCAAACTTAATACTTGATTTATCTGATCATTTCTACTCCCTTAAACAACAGATGGCTTTTAAAATCCCCAAAGAAACCCATGCAAACACATAAAGCAATATCCAGCAGACACACAGAATTGCTTCTCCTGTTTACTCAAAATTATTCTGTTTGCTCAAAATTATTCTCAAAAGGCATATCAAGAGTTTAGGTCCAATACACATGCATCAGTAAGAAACTAAACAGAATTTTTATAAATTTAAAGAACAAAACATTTACATCCATTATATAATAGGAAAACTAGAGATGGCTATTAATTTAAAGGAAACTCTGCTGCTGCTGCTGCTAAGTCACTTCAGTCGTGTCCGACTCTGTGCAACCCCATAGACGGCAGCCCACCAGGCTCCCCCATCCCTGGGATTCTCCAGGCAAGAACACTGGAGTGGGTTGCCATTTCCTTCTCCAATGCAGGAAAGTGAAAAGTGAAAGTCAAGTCACTCAGCCGTGTCCGACTCTTTGCGACCCCATGGACTGCAGTCTACCAGGCTCCTCCGTCCATGGGATTTTCCAGCCAAGAGTACTGGAGTGGGGTGCCATTGCCTTCTCCGAAAGGAAACTCTAAACATCCTTAAATCTTTTTCTTCTACAAAGTTCTTAAAAAAATAAAATACATGCTTTAAAAAGCCTTTCTTCACTACAGATAAGCTTAAAAAACTAAATGAATTTATTTATTTACTATTCACATGATGGGCCAGACTGAAAAGGTAAATTATAAGCAGTGTTACCTTATGCCAATGAACAAACCACAGAGATTAGTTAACACAGGCTAAAGTTAAAAAGAAAAATCAGTGACACTATCCAAAAATGAGCTGTGAAAATACTCACCTCTATATTTGACCAGGAGATAATAGTTGGTTGCTCAGTCAAGTCTGACTCATTGCAGCCTATGGGCTTATATACAGTCCATGGAATTCTCCAGGCCAGAATACTGGAGTGGGTAGCCCTTCCCTTCTCCAGGGGATCTTCCCAACTCAGGGATTGAACCCAGGTCTCCCACATGGCAGGCAGATTTTTTACCAGCTGAGCCATCAGGGAAGCCCAGGAGATAATACCTAACAGCAAGACATCATTTACCCCAAACTTTGAGCCATCCAACTCCAGGTCCTCACACCTCTTTAAATTAAAGCAAAAACATTTCAACCTGTTTTACATACTGGGCTTCTGCAGAAGATTTCTTTGGAAGAATGAATGTGCAGCTAAAAAATAGTTTGAAAACTGCTCAAGATATTCTAGAAATGATAGAAAGATTTGGTGAGACATTAAGGAGCTGTGTATTCAAAATTTTATTCTCTCCTTTCCCAGGCATCATCCCTTCCTCATACCCCAACTCTAGTTGTCGTGGTTTAGTCGCTAAGTCAGGTCCGACTCTTGAGACTCCATGGATTGTAGCCTGCCAGGCTCCTCTGTCCATGGTATTCTCCAGGCAAGAATACTGGACTGGGTTGCCATTTGCTTCTCCAGGGGATCTTCCCGGCCATGGGATCAAACCCAGGTCTTACGCACTGCAGGCAGATCCTTTATCATCTGAGCCACCAAGGGGAAGCCCCAACTCTAATTAGGCCTAAATTCATCTGGCAACTTGCAAACATTCCAAGATTCAAAGCCCTATTCTGGATGATCTAATTTCCTACCATTAACCCCACTCCCATACACCACTGTGCTACTTCTCTAGTCTGATTAATACACTCCAAAATCCTAACTTTCTAATTTTAAAATTGTAAGTCTATGTATAAAACCATTTCAAATCCTCCACATGACAAAACAGAATATAAATTTTAAAAAAAGTTTAAACCACTGAACTGCAAAATAATATTCATATATTTCATATATGTATATATGTAACTTAAACATTTGCAGCATTTCACACCCAAAATTGATGATTTTACCCTAAGAGTAACTAAAGGAAGTACTGGTTCCCTCACCATGGGCTCTTTTATTATAGGACAAGATAGAATAGAATACTATAGAAGAGACTTGATCAATTTTGAACGCTGCTGCTGCTGCTGCTGCTAAGTCGCTTCAGTCATGTCCAACTCTGTGCGATCCCATAGACAGCAGCCCACCAGGCTCCACTGTCCCTGGGATGCTCCAGGCAAGAACACTGGAGTGGGTCGCCATTTCCTCCTCCAATGCATGAAAGTGAAAAGTGAAAGTGAAGTCACTCAGTTGTGTCCGACACTTTGCAACCCCATGGACTGCAGCCCACCAGGCTCCTCCGTCCATGGGATTTTCCAGGCAAGAGTACTGGAGTGGGTTGCCATTGCCTTCTCTGCAATTTTGAATGAATTCTTCATTTTTTAAACTCATACAACTCACTATTAGAAACTCAGAAATCAGATTCAGACAACCTAGAATTTCATCCTACCCAAAAATACTTTCTCAACTAAGGAAATGCAAAAATTAAGACAGCAAGAGATTCTTTCATAATATAGTTTATTTTCCCCACAGAATATGCAATTCTTCTTTTAAGTAAGTGCTTACAGAAAATAATGGCTGTATAAAGTTAGCCAAAAACTGCAGTTTCTGTATTGATGAATTGGTAAAAAAATTCAACTATTAAATACTAAAGAGCAGGATGCACAAAATCTGCAAGTGTTTCCCCTAAGCCCAAAGTTTATGTATATTTAAAAGAAAACAAAAGCCTCATATACTTACCCAACATGAGGTATTTTCCCAATCTATTTTCTTCACAACTGCTTTAAACCTCTTAATAATAATAATTTTAAAAAGTCATTCTAGATATTTTAGAGTACTTCATTAGCTTCACAATTTAAAAAACATAAATTAAAAATCTCAAACTTTGAGAGAGCAAATATGAAAGTTTTTAAATCCTTGAAAATACGTAATACATAAACAATGCAGAGAGGAGTTGGTAAACGGAAGGAAGAGGAGAAAGATGCTAACTTGCTTATAACTGGGAATTTGCTTTTGCTCTAATTTCTTTTATTGCCGCGGCACGGAATAGAACCATCATACAATTATCCTAAAAAAGCGGAATTCACCATAAATGTTGACTTTATAGACCTAAATTTCTGGTTCTAAGTCTTTTTGGGGTCAAAAGCCACCTCAAAAAGTCTAAAAAAAGCTTTGAGCTGTCCCTATAAAAACACATAAGACACAAAAAATTCTGCAAAGAATTTCAAGTTTTTGTAGGTTTCCTGATTCCAGTTTAAGAACCTCTGATAAAATTTAGGAGTTTTGGTGGATTGTTTTAGGTGTAATCATGGTACTGTAGCTATGTTAGAGACATACAGAAATATTTAAGATGATACAATATTGGAATTTGCTTCAAAATAACAGTGAAATAAAAACAGTGGCCTTGAGTTAGTAATTAACGAAGCTTGGAGACAGGGCGCTGGAAGTTCATGACATTATTCTCTACTTCTGCGGGTTTGAAATTGTCCAGAATAACAAGTACAAACACATTCACATACTTGCATATGTGTTTGTGTGTAGCCACAAAAAAGACTACTTAAAAAAAAAAATCACAAATGCATTCACATACTTGCATGTGTGTGTGTGTGTACAGCCACAAAAAAGACTACTTACACACACACACACACACACACACACCATTAAAACAGTTGGTTTCCATGCAGACAGATCATCAGCGCTTAGGTTTCTGACTCTCTAGAAAACTTCTTCCAGTCTGCCGGGCCACACTTGGTTAAAAAAAAGAAGTGGGGAGACGGCTGCACCCTCAACAGCACAGCATGAGAGTCCATGTGGCCATCCCCTGTCCTCCATGAAAACTACGCGTATAAATTCCTTCCTAGAGAGGCACACAACCTGCTTATCCTGTACCAAGCCTACCAAGGTACTGAATAACACTCATGGATCAAACATTAAAACTACACCATTCAATCTATCAAAAAAGAAGTGTCAAGAGATTTTATTAAGGACCTACACGAAAAACAGGAACTTCATGTTCACTCTATTTACGTTGAATACCAGCAATGGCCTGCTACTATACCATGATTAATAAACCAAGAACTTTTAAAAATAAAGTTATTTAAGATAAACATCTGATCCAGATGACAATACATCTCTTTCTCTCTAAAGATCTGAATTCCAAATATCAGCTGAAACATCTGACTATCCAGAAGTATTTCTGTGTTCAAGGGCACAGAATGGGAACAAATGTAGAAGTGTGTTTTTGATTTGAGTCATTTTGTGAATCAGTCAAATTCTTATTCACATAAAAATATGTCAATATACTCAATACAAACATAAATTTACTTCCACCTCAATTAGTTATAATACTGTTATGTATAATAACATCTGAGTAGGTTCCTACTTGATCTATGGTTATAGGTACTAAATAATTTTAATTCCTCTGTTATCCCTTCCAAATAATACTTTCAATATCTATATAAAAAAATCAGAGAATAGTTAGGAACCCACCATATGCAAGAAAACAACTTACTTCCATCTTGTACTAAACGCCTTGTAGGAGGTTCTTACTGGCAAGGCCAAAGGCTTCCCTTCTGCAAAAACTTGGCAAGTAACATAGAGGTCTGAACATGTTTCTTGGTACAGTCCTGAAAACTTCAACATTGGGTCTTCTAGAACGGCTTTGTAACTCTTTTGTTCTCTCTTCCCTTCCAAACTTCCTCTGAAAGCATAAAAGTAATAACATTTAGACACATTTTTTAAAAACAAACCTAACAAATACTAAGAAGACTTTATGGTTATGTCTTAGTAAACCTATGCTACCTCAACATTTTCCTATAGATGAAACAAAAGTCGAGAGATCTCTTAAAATCCTAGCATACCAAAGATCATTCCTATTTTCATCAACATACTTCTCTATTTTAGGCTTCATAATTTTAAACCCTGTCATCAACTGTTGGATCTATCTTTGAGATGTCACCAGCTCTCCAAGAATTAGTTTAATTTTATTAATTTCAAGTTGACCACTTACTCCTATATTCTTCCAACATTTACTGTACTAGGCATAGTGGCCCAGAAATGAAAGACAAGATAAACAACACAGGGTTACAAGAAAATATTAAGTCCTTGCTCTGGGGAGAAAACACTGTTAACTGCATACTTTTTTATACTTTCAATTTACTTTTTTTACTATGTAGATGTATTATCTAGTTTTTTTAAATTAAGAAATAACAGTGCTTTAAGTCATAAAAAATATGCATAAGATTATAAAAGAGATAGGAACATTGCTTGGAAATCAAGATTACATCATATAGTGTGCCAAGAATTTTATAGACATTTTCTTACTTTCCACCATCTTACCATTTTATAAATCATGAAACAGACTCAGAAATCAAATTTATTATTGAGGACCACAAAGTAAGTAACAAAGCAGACAATAAAAACCAGGACAGAGGATGCCAAAGCCAGTATTTTTCCCATTACAGAAAAATAACATCAAAAAGTCTCAGGAACACCTTGGAGGCAGGGGTTCATCACCCAGATAGATGCCTGAAATGAGCCTGAACAATACAAAGGAGACGAAGAGCTACAGGCAGGATGTCATCCCAGAATTAAAGTACAGCATATAAAGGCAAAAAGGTAAGATTGTGTGTCTGGGGAACTACAAGTTGATATAGCTAAAGAATAAAGCTCATGCAGAGAAGAAGCTAGAGATGAGAATCAAGTGTAGGCAGACAATGAAGCTAAAAAGTAGCCACCACATTCAGTGCAGTACCTGTAACGAAATGAACATTCAAAAACCTGTTAATTGAACAATCTGAAGTGAGAGTACTATAATCACATTTGTGTTTATGATACTTTGGCAGGAGTGTAAGAATGTAATGGAGAGATGGGATTGAAAGCAAGGTCAATTGGAAGACTATCAAAATTAAAAGGAAAAGGATAGATTAAGGCTAGAGCAGTGGGCTTTCCAGGGGGCATGGATCAAAGATACTAAGCAGGTAGATTCAAGGCAACTTGTGAATGACAAAACAGGGATCTGTATGACTCCTTAAGATTAATTTTCTGTCTTAACCAATTCAGTGGATAATGCTAACTGTCACCAAAATAGAGTGAGAGAAGATTATTAAAAGGGCAGGCTAAAGATGTGCTCCCTTTTGGACAAGTTACTTCTAAAGTGCTTTGGAACACCCCAAATGACCATGTCCTGTGGGCAGTTCGATATTCAACTATGGCACTGAGAAACGGGACATCAAAGTGCAAATTATTAAAATGATAGAAAGAGATGAAAAGACCTGGGGAAAACATAATTTTAAAATTTACTGTTCTTTGATTTTATGATCCTAAATTGATACTTCCTGCCCTCCCCAAAATCAGTCACAGAAAATAAAAGGTGGTTAGGACTAAATTTTGCCAAACTTCTGATTTATGCTTTATTTCTCCTCAAAATACTCAATGCATCTATTAATAAGGGACCAGTTTTCTTTAAATTTTTTCATTTTTCCTTTTAATGTCCAAAAGTTTCAAACAAATAAAAAAAGCATTCATATACCCAAGAAACACTGAGAGGAATGGGACTGAAGGAAAGTCCTTTACCAGATGATGGCAACACAGGTCCTATAGAAGCATCGACTGTTGTATCTGTAGAAACTACTTCAAATGGGTGTGTCAAGTATTATAAAGATGCAGTTTGGTTGTTGATATGTTATTCTTACTGCCACCACAAAATCAAAAGTAAAAGACTTATCAGTGTCTGAAGTAAATAACTTTCAGAAACATTCAAGGGAGCATCTCACGACTGAGAAAATATAAGTGTGCAGCCTTTTGCCCGAGGTACATTTGTTGAATACTGACTAAAATATGGTGAAAGATGTTAGATTAATAACTTGTGAAAAATTATGATCGTTTTCACATGTGAAAATGTATCTAAGAGACTGCTAATGGCCATAATTTCCAACTTGGTCCGAGCTGTTCCCCATCTCGGTTCCACTAGTGTCGTCTCAAGACGTCATGTCCTGGACTTCAACTGTGTTGAAGTCTCAAGACTTTCCTGCAAAGACCTCTTCTCATATATTCTGATCCCTTTACAACCGGAACCCTCTTCACCTTTGACTGACTTCCAGCTTCAGTAGCTGAACAATAATAACTGTTCCTAAGAGTCAATCTTAGCCTCTCTCACCTCTCATGTTTTTAGTACTATATCCAATTAGCTACTTTATCTGCCTCTCCGTAATTTCTTCAGTCTCCAGTCCACCTACCAGTCCCGTTTTAAAGTAATATCTTCCAGTTATAACGGCAGGACGACGATTTAACCAAGACTTGATTTCTCTGTAATATGAGACAGTAATAATCCCACAAAAGGTTGCTGTGAATAGCAAAACGCTTTCTGGAAAACAAACCCTGCGGAATTGACGGACTTACTCCGACCGCTTTCTCTCTCAGGAGATCGCGCCCTCGGCCGTACGCACGGCCCCTCTCCGCCACCTCCGCTGCACCGGCTGCAACCCTCCGGCCGCGGCCGGGCCGACCCTCAAGCTAATAACCATCTTCTCTCCCCAACCCGCAGGCCCCTGAAGCCCCGCCTCAGCCTCGGCAATCCCCGTCCCCGTCCCTAGACTCTCTCACATTTTAAGCTGCACGTTGATGTCCAGGTCACAGCTGTAGACATAGTGAAACTTCTCCGCTTCTCCCATGGGAACCCCCGGGTAACAGGGTACACCTAAGGCCGAGAGTAGGGCGCTAGGAAGAGGCTGGGGCTGAACTCGCAGACCAGGACCACACAGGCGCTTCCGGTTCCGCCTCTCGGCCCCGGCGCCGCCAATCCCTGCCGGAGCGCGACCGCTTGCGGCGGAACTCCCCGCCCCGCCCAAGCGTCCTCCTGCGCATGTGCAAAGGGACCCGCCATCTTGCTGAGTGCAAACAGCATTCCGGAAACGAAGTGTACTTGGTTACATTCCAGACTTCCTGTATTGTTTCGTATTTCCGAGGTTTTGTTTTCGATTTTTTGTTTTAAGAAAGTAAGAAACTGTCTTTTGATTCTGATCTGTTCTGAAGTCAGACCAAAAGGGAATTCAATTCAAAAAGAAGTGTAACAACTTTCACTGCCTGAAGGTTAACCAAGGAATAAACAAAAAGGTTAGAGATTTCCCAAGTGTAAATTTCAGTTGCCGTTCGAAAACCTGTAGTTTAATCACGTATTTGCTCTCTCAAGCAAAGATTTCCTCTTTCTGTTCTAAAGAGTGGAGGAAGGACTAAGCAAAGAGCAAGGAAATCTGGCTTTCAGTTTGGGTCATACAAATAATACTTTGATTAGAATGCTTGTGTTCTTGTTTACCGCTGGATGTTCTCAGACCCAATGTACGCTTGAAGACCTAACCCTTGTTGGGACCTAGAAACATCCAGTAACAACTCTAGGACTCAGAATTCTGACCTCTAAACTACAATATTTATTTTTAGTATATAAAACTGTAATTTTTAGTATGTAAAACTGTAATGGAATTGTAATCACTTCCAACTAGAACCAAAGCTCTTGGGAAGAGCAATGTGTCCCTTGGTGCCTAAGGACTTCTCTGTTGGGTCAGATGGTAAAGAATCCGCCTGCAATGCAGGAGACCCAGTTGGATCCCTGTGTTGAGAAAATCCCCTGGAGAAGGAAATGGCAATCCACTCCAGTATTCTTGCCTGTGAAGTTCTATGGAAAGAGGAACCTGGTGGGCTACAGTCCATGGGGTCTCGAAGAGTCAGAAATGACTGAGTAAGCACTTGATGCTTGATATATTGTTGAGTGTAATAATTGCTATTCATTATTTTTAGTGATGATCTTCCCTGGTGGCTCAGGTGGTAAAGTGTCTGCCTGCAATGCGGGAGACTGGGGTTCCATCCCTGGGTTGGGAAGATCTCCTTGAAGAAGGAAATGGCAACCCACTCCAGTATTCTTGCCTGGAGAATCTCAGGGACGGAGGAGCCTGGTAGGCTACAGTCCATGGGGTCGCAAAGAGTCGGACACGACTGAGCGACTTCACTTCACTTCTTCATTGTTAGTGATATTGAATAGAAATATCTATGTGTTTATTTTTAGGTGTCATAAGAGAGACAATGCTAGAGTGTGTGTAAGTTATTATAATTTAGGGGAGAAGAAAAAGTTTTCAAGGAAAGATTGAAAGGACTGTAGCCGTTTAACTTAGAAAGTAAAAAAAAATGACTAATGTACAATGTTTTGTCCAAAGTAAGTTTTTAAAAACATTTGTGGAAGTAACAGTAGGAAAAAACATGAATTAGTCTCTTATAAGGTACAGTTCTAACAAAAAGCAGACTTGACCTGTTCCTAAGTAATAACATAACTACCAATGGCTGGAACTTACAGGAAATGTAATTTTAGGAAGTAATGAAACTTGAACTTTCTAATCAACAGAGCTCCCAATAATAAAACAAACAGTTACAAGTCCCCTGTCTATGGGATAATTCCAGTGGTGGATGCCAGGTCTAAGGTGAAACAGGTTGCTCAAACTTGAATAAAATATTGACAATTTGTAAAGAACTGAATTTTCTGCTGACTTAAATTGCTTTTATTACAATGTTATTTAATGTACAAACTTGTGTAAACTTCATATATACACAAATATATTTCTTATAAAATTTTAAAAACCAAGTTTACAAATTAGATATAAAAACTTCAAATTAACAATCTTAGTACATAGCCTTTTTGCTGAAACCTATTGCCTACAGCATGAATATGGAATTGATGACTCTTACAGAACTGGTTTTTTGAAATTTAAGACCTCTGTATAAAAAGCAGAGATATTACTTTTCCAACAAAGGTCTGTCTAGTCAAGGCTATGGTTCTTCCAGTAGTCGCATATGGATGTGAGAGTTGGACTAAAAAGAAAGCTGAGCACTGAAGAATTGATGCTTTTGAACTGTGGTGTTGGAGAAGACTCTTGAGAGTCCCTTGGGCTGCAAGGAGATCCAACCAGTCCATCCTAAAGGAAAGTCTTCAATATTCATCGGAAGGACTGATGCTGAAGCTGAACTGCCAATCCTTTGGCCGCCTGATGCATAGAACTGACTCATTTGAAAAGACCCTGATGCTGGGAAAGATTGATGGCAGGAGGAGAAGGGGACGACAGAGGATGAGATGGTTGGATGGCATCACCGACTCAATGGACATGAGTTTGAGTAAACTCTGGGAGTTGGTGATGAACAGGGAGGCCTGACATGCTGCAGTCCATGGGGTTGCAAAGAGTTAGACACTACTGAGTGACTGAACTGGGCTGAATTGAACTGATACTGCCCTTATATGGCAATTCAATTTTCTTGTCTCCTTTTCTATTCAAATAACTATGAACTCTTTATTAAAGTCTAAGTACCATGAGGGTATTTGGCCTTTACTTGACCCCAAATGTACTTTTTTTTTTTTTTGTCTTAAGTCTATCTGTTCTTTTCTCATTAGCTCATAACAGTTAAAGTTCCAATACGGTTACAGACACACCACAGATAAAGGCATAAAAATGAAATATCAATATTTAGTTCTAAGATATTCATTCATAGGGTCCAGGATAGACTTATGTTAATGTTTTAAAGGTAGTAATCAATAAAATATGTTTTAAAATGTTTAAAAACACATTAAAAATGTATTATGTGGGAATCTTAGAAGACTGTACTGTAATTGTCAATGACGATAATGCAACAAGGAAAACTAATATGCAAGTGAAGAGGATAATGGTAGGTCACAGAAGCATTGGAAAAGTCACAGAAATCAAAACTGGCAATGTCTTTCCTGGACCAACCATAGATCAAGAAGATGTGGTTAGTAGATGTGAGTATCAGACTCCAGTTAGCAAGACCATGGGAAATGAAAGCCTTGGGTATCTTTTTCTAAAAGGAAAGAAGTGATGTCTTCTTTCCCATGTGATCTTTTACAACTCATAAATATAAGACACTTAAAGTTATAGAACATAGTCCTTGCATTGCAAAAATTCTCAGTTTTACAGACTACTGCATGTCTGTAGGAAAATAACTTTTTGCATAAATGTTTTCTTTATGTGGTAGGCTACTTCATTGAATATTTGGTGTCATATCCAATTTTAATTTAATTAACTCATCTTTGTAGTTGCAGTTTTTATTTTGTTTCCTTTGCCATATTGTTTTAAATTTAATGTTTATTCAAAATACAAACTTTAATGTTGGTTGAGAAATTTGTTGATAATAATCTGTTCCCTCAAGTTGCCCAGGACTTATGTAGTTATTATCAGGTTTATTTTTGTCAGTTTCTGTCACTCAGTTCATTCTCTTTAGCTTGTAATAAAAAAATTGACTCAAAGCTTAGAATATTTACCATCTATTATTAGCCTTCCATCAAGATAAAATAACTGTGATATTATGAGATTAAAATAATTTCAAAACTGCTTTTTTTCCAATTAAAAATTGTCTTTACAAGTTTTCTAGTAACTCTAGGTATTTTTAGAACCTAATTGCATGATAGAGCAGACAACATTGTCAGGAAACTTGAAAAATCCTACATCATAAGCCAAGACTCATAGCTGTTTGTCAAGTGACAACGTTGAAAAAGGTGAACTTGAGACTGTCTCCTAGTGATCTTGGTATAGGAACCTTCAAAGTTTGGGTGATTCCATTGAAAAAAGTAATTTCTATCAGCTACAAAATAGAACAGATCAAAAGAATGCATTTTCTGAAAAATAATAAAAGTATACTCTGTGTGTGTGCTCCTTCTACTCTGTAATTAAAGCTCCTTTAAGTGTCATGAGGGGAAAAAATTCTAATAGTTGAATAATATTATTGTCAAAAATCACAGTTGTAAAAGAAGAATGGGGTCATATTTCCCCCCGAAAGCATGATCAGGACCCTCCCAAGGAACATGCTTCTGGGTTAAACTCTTCGTGCCTCTTCAACCCCCTCATTCAATAAGAGGAGTGATCTCTAGACCTTGGAAAGAAGAGCTTTAAAACTGTGGGAACTATCTGCTGTTATTTATAATCTCTTGATTTAAGATTTTTAGGGATTTTTAAAGTTATAAGCCCCATGGGCTCTGGGCTCTTATAACATGTTCGAGACCCCAAAAGAGTCTCTATTTTCCTCCCCTACCCTTGCCATAAAAACAAACAAACAAACAAAAAGATTAGATTTATGTACTTCAGGCCTGAGATTGCTACTTCTGAGAAGCCTCCTCTGACCCCCACCTTTCCTCCCAACACTAGAGTAAGTCATCTCACTCAAAAATCCATTCCTCCTGTATTCTGCTTCCATAATATTTTCAGTAGGCTTTATAATAATTATTTAGTTGATGGCTGGCTCTTCCACTGGACTACAAGTTCTCCAAGGAGAAGACCTCTGTCCATTTTACTTCCCCTGTGCTCTACTTTAGTTCCTGGCAAAGAACAGATATTGAATAAGAGAAGTAGGAAAGAACCTAGCACTTGGAAAACTATTATCTGTCAGATAGCACATTACATCAGTGTATTTATTTCAGCAAATAGTGAAGCAGGTTCTCTTATACTATTTTACAGAAAAGTAACTGTAATGTAAGTTGGGTGATTTGTATATAATTAATAGCTAATAAATGGCAGAAACAGATGTGTTCAACTTCAAAACACATGATAGTTTTACCAAACTGTGAAGGAATACTCCAGAAAAATTCCTAAATTTAATTTTTGTAACAGGAAAAAAAATTATTAAT